CAATGGGAGGACAGGTGCAGGTGTTAACAGCTCTGATGGAATGAGAAAAATCTCCTGCATTGTAACATAAAGGGAGAAGGAGGGGCTAGGAGAACATGCCTTTGAGTTTCAGCCATAAACATGGGCATACACGTGTATCATTGTAACATAATGACTTGTAACTCAGGAAGATTCCTAGGAGGTTGAGTGGAATTTCCTTGTTTTAGATTTTGAGTCTTTATACTGATTTCCATAATGATTGTACTAGTTTACAGTCCCAAAACAATTAAGAAGGGTTTCTGTTTTCTGCAGAGCCTCACCAATATTTCTTATTGCTTGATTTTTTTTTTCATGCATTTGGTACAGGGTCTATAGGGACTATAGTGTCTCACTGTGTAGATAGGACTCATAGTGATCCTCCTGTTTTCAGCCTCCCAAACATTGGGATTATAGGCACGCCCCACCACGCCCAGTCTCCATCACTATCTCAGTGCGCCCTGTGGGCAGGGCTGGCATGGCAGGCTGGGGATCGAACTCTGGCCACTGCTCTCTGCCTAAGCAGGCTCTTTAGTCTGCTGAGCTATCTGGATGGCCTTTGATTTCTTGACTGTAGCCTTTTTCCTGGAGTAAGATGGAGTCTCAATGTTGTTTTAACTTGCATTTCTCTAATGGCCAGAGATGTTGAACATTTTTTTTTTCATGTATTTATTGGCCGTTTTTACTTTTGAGAAATGTCTATTCATTTCAGTTGCCTCCTTTTAGCTTGGAAGGTTTTAATTTTTTTTGAGTTCTTTACATATTATAGATATCAATTCTTTGTCTGAGGACTAGATGGCACAATTTTTTCCCCCCATTCTGTAGGTTGTATCTTCACTCTGTCCATTTTTACCTTTGTTGTAAAGAAAGTTTTGATTTCATATGACCTCATTTGTTGATTCTTGATGTAGTTTCTTGTGCATTTGGGGTTCTATTAGAAAGTTCTTGCTATACCTATGTCTTCATGAGTTTTACCTATCTTCTAGCAGATTCACTATTTCTATTTTAATATTGAGATCTTTGAACCGTTTTGATTTTAATTTAGTACATGACAAGAGATATGGGTCCCTTTCCAAGGCTGTCTCCTATGACTGTCTCTCACCTGGTCACTATAGCAGTCTTGAGATAAAGCTGTTAGTTATTTTTGAGTTCCAGATTTAATAATCAACCCCTTCCTGAAGTGGTGCCTGATCAGGCTCTGGTGATATGGTTGTTGCTCATGCTTGAATCCTCCTCCAGTTGTTGCCTGCCATGTAGAAGGAGTCTTTCTGGGGCAAAAGCCCACACTGTATTTGTAGTTCACAAAGGCTGTTGGTTGAGCTGGGGATGTGGCTCAGTGGTAGAGGTCGTGCCTTGCATGAACAAGGCCATGGGTTTGATTTCCAGTACCACAAAGAAAAATATGCAAAACCCAAAAACGAAGGCTGTGTTTCTCCTTGGATCTCCTGGCCCTGTCTGCTTATCTTGCTTCTGGGAAGCCTCGTTCAAGCTACCAAGGAGAAAGTCCAAGTTGTTCCCTTCTTTTCTCTGCATTGTGCACTGTTTCCAATTTCTCTAACACTTCTGTTTTCTTTCTCTGGATCCTTCATGATCTGCTTCTTCTTATTTTGTTTCTTAGACACATATTTCTTTGTCTTTTTGAAACAGGGTATTGCTGTGTAGTTCAGCCTGGCCTTGAGTTCACTTTGTAGCCCAGGCTGGTCTCAAACTCCCAAGGATCCTTCTGCTTTAGCCTCTTGAGTAGCTGGGATTGCAGGTGTGCACCACCACGCTTGGGTTGTCTCAACAAGTTGTTCTATTTCAGTGTGTATAAGATAAATATCAGAAGGGGTAAACTTTGCTACTGATCACAGCTCTGATATATATATATATTTTTTTTCCCTTCCCTACCAGATAGTCTATATATTACTGCTTTATTTATTCTGTCCCTCCATGCTTACTTAAAAATGAACAAAATCTTTTATATTCTGTACTATACGCTGTGAGTACTTGATGATTTTTTTTTTTTTTTTTTTCAGAACCAGGGATTGAACTCAGGTCTTTGCACTTGCCAGGCAAGTGCTTATTCTACTGAGCTGTCTCCCTGGCCTCCTTCATGATTTTTTTTTTTTTAAATCAGTAGATGTATTTTGCAGCACATACAGGAAACAGTGTTGAACTCATGCTGCAGTTGTTTTATGGATTTTCTGAATCCCGGAAGCAGGATGCTGTCTGTGTCAGGGGTTCCTGAGACTACTGCAGGCTTGCAGACTCTTTAGGAGGACTCACCACACAGTCATACTCAGGGGTAGGTTATATTACAGGGACAGAATACCAAACTCAGTCAGCAAAGGGAGAAGGTACAAGGAACAAAGTCTGCAGCAAATCAGACAAATGCTCCCAAGAGTTCTTTGCTAATAGGAAGAGTCGCACAGAACATTCTTTCTCTAGCAACTGATTGTGACAACGGGTATGAACTGATGTCTATTGGGAAAGTTTATTACAGTTACAGGGTCTGAGGTCTTTATTGGGGGCTAGACACATGGGCACCCCTCTGCCTAGCATGTGCCGAAGTAAGTTCATCTTAAACTACATTGTGCATTATACAGAAGTTTAGGCACAGTGAATCACTCTCACCATTTTTGGAACAATGAGAACCTCTTGAAATTCAACTACCATCAGGGCAATCTTGTAAATAGGCCTTTCTATGGAAAGCGGTCTCGGGGCTGCTATGTTAACCCTTGTCTGTGCAGTACTTATATTAATTGTAGTTCTGTTGGATAAAGAAGTAGCTTTAGGGAAATGGGAGTGGTGGGGTATAGGTAAAGGTAGAGGTGAAGAGGGTGGGGCTTTGTGCCCCCTTCTCACTTTTTTCTTTAATAAATTGAGGAGTCCATGGAAGATTTTATATATAGAAAAGGGCTTACTATTAAAGTACAGTTGGGGGCTGGGGAGATAGCTCAGTAGAATAAGTGCCTGCCTGGCAAGCATAGGGTCCTGAGTTCAATCCCTGGTACCACACACACACACACACACACACACAGAGTACAGTTGGAAAGCTACTCATTTAAACAGTGAGATGGATTTCAAGTGTTAAATTTCATAAGAAGTCATCAGTTGGGCCCTAGGGTCTGCTTTAGGGGCTATTAGACCCAACCAAAATGGAATTACTCAGGCTAAAGCTCCATAGCATCATGTCAGAAGTGTGTATGAGACCTTCCCAGAAATCAAAAGATTTGGCCAAATTCCTAAACAGGCCAGTTCTAGCCTACACAGCAGAGAAGTCTTTGGCCTTTACAGGGACAATAACTTGGAAACAACTCATCTGCTTTTTGTTTTTGTTTCTGCTTTTCTTAATCTCTCTGTGTCTGTGGAACCAACCTCTGCTCAGCTCATCGAAATGCCCATTTTATTTTATGGAATAAATACTTGACCTGTTCTAAAATCTCAGGGACTGCCAGTAAGATCTTTAGTGTTAGTTTCTTTCCTTTTTTTGTTTTGAGATGGGTTCTCATTGAGTTGCGATCCTCCTGCCTCAGTGGCAGTGCTAGCTCCAGTGGCTGACCCTACAGGCACATGCCACCACTCCTGGAGCTGTAAGATCTTTAAATTTGTTGAAATTTCACCCTTTGACCCGAGGAAAATGTTGATGGGGTCACGTTTCTACTTGTGGATGGTATTTCAGGGATTGTGATAACGATACATTTGGGACAGTGAAGACAAATGGAGGCAGAGAATGTGACAGTTCAAGTGAAAGATAATAAGACCCGAAGTGGGTAAGCAGCAAGAAGAGGGGAAGAGGGTGCAGGATGGGGTGCCAGTGACCATAGCCTGCCTGAGAAACTTGTGTAATGGTAGGGAAAAGAAGTTAGGACAGAGGAAAGGAAATTCTTGTTACTCTGAGGTTTCTTACTTGATGATTCCAGAAAATGAAAGAGCCAGGCTCTTTCAACCTGGTTTACCACACTTTCACTTTGCGTTGCACTTGCTTTGCTTTTTACTTCAGTTAAGGGGAGGGGAGCAAAGGTTGCTTCTGCTTATTATTGATTCTAAAAAATAAGAGATGGTGCTGGGAGAGCAGATAAACCTTTGAGATTCTTAAGTCTCAAAGCACCGGAAGAGCTAGGCCTAAGTAGAAAAGAGCACCATCCTCCCTACCTCTGAGGAGGAAATGAGAAACCAGGGTGGCTAGTTCAATGACACAGAGGCAAAAAAGAGACATTATAGTGTGTCAGGCTTTCTAGAAGAGGAATTGTAGTTTATAATTTTAAGTATAATTCTTTATTATTATTATTATTATTAATTTTTTTGTTTGTGTTTTAGGACAAGGTCTACAGGGTCTCACTGCGTAGACTGGACTCGTAGTGATCCACCTGTTTATAGCCTCCCAAGTGCTAGGATTATAGTCACACACCACCATGCCCAGTCTCAGTGTGCCCTGGAGGCAGGGCTGGCAGGGCAGGCCCAGGGATCAAACTTCCACCCCTGAGTCTGCCTAGGCAGGCGCTTTAATCTGCTGAGCTATTTGGCTGATCCTTTATATTTCTTTTTTCAATGAGCATTTAGAAATACACTTATTGGGTTGGTGCAGTAGTTCAGTGGTGTAGTAGTTTAGTATGCACAAATCCCTTGACTCAAACTCCAGCAGAAGGCCAAAAATTGTATATTCATAGACATATATGTATATATATGCATATGTATAAGATTTATTTTATATTACTTTAATCAAAGTGACATTTATAGGGCTAGGCATGGTGGCATATGACTGTAATCCTAATACTGAATAGGCTAAGGCAGGAGGATTGCCATGGGTTCAAGGCCAACCTGGGCTACATAGTGAGACTTTCAGAAAACAAAACCCCATAAAAACAAGAGAAAAAGTGACATTTATAAAAACTGCTGAAATACATATAGTTATAACTGTTTAAAAGTTTTACCATGCCCCATGTAGAGCACTGTGAAGTATCTTTATTTAAGGAAGTCCAAAACTCTGTTTTTGTTTGTAGCCTATACAGTTCAGGCACCTGATGGTGTAACCCAGACTGCTACTTCTGAGGCCTATTTGAAAGCTTTGACTGCTTGCCATGGACCTCTGGACCACTATGACTTTCTGATCAAAGCCCAGGAGCTGAAGGATGATGAACATCAGAGAAGGGTCATCCAGTGCTTGCAGAACTTGCACGAGGACCTTAAAAGATACAGTGCAGAGGCAGAAGATTTCCTTTCTAAGGTAAGATTTGTGTGTGATATTGAAGATGGAATAGGGCTGGGGAGATAGCTCAGTGGCCTAGCTCAGTGCATGCCTGGCAGGTCCTGGGTTCTATCCCCAGCATCATCATCATCAACAACAACAACATAAAGATGAAGCAGTTAAAAATGTAAACATTTTACAAAAATGAATCTAAGTAATGGGATGTAGTTATAAAATAGCTTGAAAATTTCCCTCAAGCAAGTTCTATTGGATTTCCATCCCTGACCTTGTGTTGTTCCATAGCTTTCATTCAGCTTTGTAGATTCAAACAGCTTCATAATTAGGTTATTTAAAAATGCAGTTGAGTTGTAATATAAACTTCTGAGTCTACTCTTTGCAATTCCAGTGCAGTCCCACACTTTCCATTTCTCTAGCTTAAGCCTCCTTGTGTGGTCTGCAGTAGACAAGAGCATATGGCTTGGTCTTCTGCTTTTCCTCATCTTCCCTTCTCTACTTGCCTGATTTCTCTTGGGTCAAAATGAGAGGGATGAAAATATAGAGCAAAATAGCAGCCTTTGTTGCCCCACCAGCTGCTGGGGTGTTTGTGCGGTAGCTGCTGACCTGGTAGCTCTTCAAGAGGAACATTATGGATCCTCAGCACTGCTGCATTCTTTGACTCCTTGTGACTATGGGGAAAGATCTCACAGTGCTGCGTGCTGGGATCCCCTGACCCTTGCACTTAGCCTTCTTGTGTTGGGTCCTCTCAGGACAGCTGTCATCTTTCATGATGTCCACTTAGGCCGTGAGAAGCATGGCATTTTGTTTTCTACAACCCCTATTGCATGGGTAGTCTTAGTCAGCTGCCTACCTTTGGACTTCCACAGACAGAGACACCAAAGTGTCTTTGTCTTGTCCATCCTCCTGTTTCGAAGGCTGTGTGTCAGGTTCTTCTATGAGCTCTTCACACTCTGCCTTGGTAGTTGCCTGTGGAATTCCTCACCTTATTAAGCATCCAGCTGAGGACTGGGAAGGGGTAGGGAGCTCATCCCCCCAATACATGGTCTGAAGTAAAGCCAAGCAGTTCTCACACAGCTAACAGCTTTCTATCTTGGTCACCGACTTTAGTCCTGCTTTGGTTTTGGACCTGTTTTTTGTCTATTTTTTTTTTTTTTTTCTTTTAAGTAATTCCTGTATAGGCATGTTTAATGCCTCTCTTTGGTGTGTATAAGAAACTTGCTTCCTTTTATTCTCAGCTTTGAAGCTTTTGCTGAAATTCTGTCACAGCAAGAAAATTCTCATTCTGTTGTATAGCCTATCACAGAAACCAGTTTCATCTGTTGCATCTTATTATTTATTTATTTATTTTGCTGTACCAGGGATTGAACTTGAACGATCCTGGCAGGTACTTATGTTGCTGAGCTATCTCCCTGGCCCTGTGACATTATAATTATGAAGGATGGTAGTAGTAATGAGAATTATAATACACTTCAACCTAAGAAACTGGTTTTTCCTTAATGACCTGGTCACCAATCTTCCCCTTGCCTCAACCCAAATATTCTTTCCTTGTAAGGTTTTTTTAGAAAAATGGACTATAATATGTATTAGCCATATTTTATTTAAAAGTCTGAGAAGAGTAATTTTATATTTTAAAATATAAAAAAGTAATTTTATATTTCAAAAACTTGAGGGCAAAACAAACAACAAAGATAGAATGATTTCGAAGTATTGTTAAACAATGCTATTTTTGTATAAAGTAAAAAGCTGCCCTTGTTTGAACACCTTTTGGTCAAGGGAAACAGAGATTTTTTTTAGGTAACAATGAAATGGAGATTTAGAATAGTACTGTGTGTGAGAATAGTGAGACCAGGGTGTCCAGTGTGTAGGCAGGCCTCATGCGCAGTGTACTACCATTCATACAATCCACCATCTTGGCCTGTTTGGGCCGCTCTAGCAAAATGATAAACACTGATGTGCCTGTTATCACAGAAAGAAATTTAGACTATCAGGTTGTCCAGGAATAGAAGACCTATATCTGTAAAAGGATTTTTTTTTTCTTTTTGGCGACCTCAGGATGCCTTCAGGGCAGGTCTGGTTTGGCTTTAGGATGAGGGGATCGAACCATAGCATCCTGAGCCTGACTGCTTTGTTTAAGCAGGCACTTAAACAACTGAATTAATGGGCAGGCCCGCCCTATATCTTTAGAATTCTTAATTCTGGTAAACAAAATTTATGATTTTATGAATTTTGTTTTTGTCTTTAGTGCAGATGTTTAAATATTCATGATGGTAGACCTATCTGTTTCTCATTGTAGCCCTAAAATACTTTCTGTAAGTTGATTCTATCATAGTAAGATAAAATATACCTTCTTTACAAAGTGCCAGATTTATTAAGCCAAGAGAAAAAAATCAGTACCAGTGTATCGAGCTACCTTTACTTACCTATATTACATTGTCTTCTCCAGCAAATATTTGAAGAAGTTATGAGTGTGCCATGTGAGCAGCAAACTGTGAAGAGTGAGCATTCATGGGCCCTTCACTTTTGTTATCAAGTAAAACTTACAACCAGGTTAATGTGACACATTTAATGTATGCATAATTGTTATTGTGCTGTGAGGTAATTAGGCATAAATGGTAAGTAGTTCATGTAAATCACTGTAATTAGAATTACTTTTACACAGCCAAATCAAGCATTTCTAGAGTCAGGGAGAGAGAGAATTAAATAGAATATAGAGCTCTTCTGAAAATCTCAGTTTCTATTAATCAGGAGTGTGAAGGAAATCAGGTTTTTTTATTTCTTGGAAGGAGACTTTAGTACAGTTATAGGGAAGTAAGGCAGGGGTGCTCTGGTCAGTAATGGACTGCATGTGTAGCAGACGTCCCATGATATTGTAAAGGAACTCAAACACCCCTATCACATGGAAATGCAGTAATGTAACCTACTGTGCTAAAATCATATAAAAAACAGCATTACATACAGTGTATAATAATGATCATGTGATGTGGTGGCACACACCTGTAGTCCCAGCACTTGGGAGGGTGAAGCAGGAGGATTGTTGTGAGTTGGAGAGCAGTCTGGACTACAAAGTGAGCTCAAGATCAGCCTGACTGCATAGTGAGATCCTGGCTCAAAAAGATAAAAACATCCCCCAAACAGACAAAACCCACAAAATCCCCCAAATAAACAAAAAACCACCCAAAACCAAAACCAAAAGAATAGTAATTGATTATCAAAGTAAGCAGCTATTACTGATGTGTATATTCACTACACTATGCTATATATATTTCTGTGTGTGTGTCGGTGCTCATTGAACTCAGTCAGGGCTTCACACGTTAAGCAAGTTTGCTACCACTCAGCTATATTGAAGCCCTTTTTATTTTATTTTGAGGCAGTCTTGCTAAATTGCCCAGGTTGGCCTCAAACTTGCAATCTCCAAAGTAGTGTAGCTGGGATTACATGGGATTACTATATTTTCTTTTGTTTTTTTAGAGTATACTTCTATTTATAAAAACAAGTACTTGTCATAGAATAGTATATGCTGTATTATACAGGTAACATACATCTTGTGTTTGCTGAATGAATCTCTTGAGTACATTCAGTGGCTGCATTGAGTAATTGACCTATACTATTGAGGTTTGTGTAAATAAGTGTACTCACACACCAGAAAATTAGGTAATGATACATTTCTTAGAATGTATCCTTTAAGCAAGGCATGACTGTATATTATTATTATTATTATTATTATTTTTTTTTTTTTGTGGAACCGGGGATTGAACTCAGGCCCTTGTGCTTGCCAGGCAAGCACTTATTTCTACTGAGCTATCTCCCTGGCCCCTGTATATTATTTTTGTTTGTGTTTTTTTGTGGTATGGGGCTTGAACGCAGGCCTTGTATATGTTAGGCAAATACTATACCACTGAGCTATTTCCCTAGCTCTATAATACATATGTATATATTTAAAAGCCAATCTAAAATTTATTTATTACTTTTGCATTTGTTTTATAATTAAAATAAATTTAAATAGTACATAGAAAAATGGCTTTGTCATTTCAAACGTATCCTATTTCTGAATTGGTCATATAATTTCAGTATTGTATAAATAGCTTCAGTATTGTTCTTTTAATAATGAACTGTTAATCAAATTAAATTAACTATCTAGATAATATAAATGTAAAAATGTGATCTGTATGAATATTTTAAGAAAATTTATAAAAACCTTTTGAAAATTATTATTTTATAAAGCTTTTATTTAAGCAAAAGCATATCTCTGAAACAATAGCTATTTTTGAAACTCAAATTGAAAATTCAGTAGAATATTTTTTGTCTCTTACATTGGTGTTTGGTACCTTTTTGTAGACTGCAATTCTTTGCTAAACTGGTCATTCATATTTGCTATCATTTTGTTTAGCTTAACTAGCTTTTTTTTTTATTAGTGTCTTCTCTAAGCTCATTGATCATTTTGCTTATTAAGTCCATCTCAGTTATATTATCCATTTCTTTAGTTATGTCCATCTCTTTTTTGTTGTTGTTGTTTGTTTATTTACTTGTTTCCCGTTACTTCTTTGTGTAATTCAACTATTTGACTTTTAGTTTCCTTTCCGCTAATGTCCTATGAATCAGCTTTGGGGGAGATGGATGTTTTTGGAGAATTTTGTTGCCTTGTTTTCTCATTTTCCCATTTTTTTTTTGTGGGAAGATGAGATCTACAGGTTGATTATAGTGGGAGGACTTTGTTGCATGTGATCTTGTTGTGGCTTACTGTCTGTGTCCCAAGATCCAACCAATTTCATTAATTTGGGGATGGGAGGGTACAGGATAATTGACCCAGTATTCAGTTGTCTGGAAATGAACCACAGTAATGTCGATGTCACAAAGACAAACCAGATATTGGCATAGAGTAAATGAAATTAATGACAATAATAGGATTAAAGACAAATTGGATATCAACATACCCTAAGAACAAACAAAAACTGCCACTGTACCACTCTTAACAATAGAAATGTGATCTGCTGTTATAATAATATAAACACAAAAGCAAACTA